TTTTGGTCGGCTCCATTTTGCTCAGTATCAAGATGGCATTTCCTTGGCAATATAAATCCATACTACATAACTTCAAAATAATCTTCATACTCTTAGATCTGTTTTGAAAAACGTATTTAAAAAGTAATATTGAAGACCAAAGAAGAAAGAAATAACGTTTCAACGTGGAGCTCGGTCATGGCTTGGAAGGAATGCGGTGTAGTTTACTGCATCCTCCAGTGCGGAAAGGGGGCAGGACCACGACGCTCATCACAATCTGAGGCCGGCCAAGAGGGGGCTAAAAAAGGTAGGCGTCAGCTGAATTCTGGGATGGGGGGTCAGTTCACCTGGTGGCAGGCCACAGATGACCAAGAGGAGGGGAAAGAAATCCGTGGGTGCCCAGCACCTCGCTAAAAAAGGGTGGGTGCTGGCTGACTTCCGGGCAGAGCCTGCGACGAGTGTGTCCTGGGCCCGGAAACTTGACCGTGGGGCTCCACGATCTTGGGTAGTAAGGGGCTTTAGGACAAGAATCTTTGTCCTAAAGCCCCTTATTTCTGTTTCTGGTAAATGAAGAAGGAACATCAGCATAATACTAACCAGTTTCTTGGTTAGGTGCATCAGCATAATACTAACCAGTTTCTTGGCCCAGCAACTAGTCTATCACCTGGCACCAGCATAACACTAAATCTATTGCCTGGCGCGTCAACACGATATTAACTTATTGCAGGACACATCGACTAACCTACACCTGGTACTCCACCCCTGGGACCACCCCAACTTAATAAAAATGGGAAAAATCAGGTAGATGGTGCTCAGAATTTGGTGGGGAGGCCCCTCTGAGCCCGCCTGCCAAATAAACTTTGATTCCCTGACTGTCCGTGTGCCCCCCAGTTTGTCCTCCGGACCACGCGCTGTAACACTTGCTGTAGCAGTAGTATACAGATTGTCTATTGATGCTTTCTGTTGAAGAGTTGATGGGTCATTTGAGAAATTCTTATAATGCACAATCTAACCATTTGCTTGGGCAGGACAGTTAGGAAGAGTAAAGTAATGATAATAAAGATAGTAAAATAGCAAAGTCTTTTTATTGTCTACTGTACGGCCTGGTTTCAGTTTCAGTGCTCAGGCTGAGTGTGAGAGAAGAGGGTTTCCGTTCTGAGTACTTACCTCATAGGAATAATACAAATAAGGTATTTATTTTTTTTCCCTAGTCCATTTCTTCCTCCAGCAAATAAAGTTTTTAAAATGATTCCTGAAACATATTAATTGCTCAGTAAATGTAAGCTCATTTATAACTATCCATATCTAACATCTGAAAGCCAAAGTCCAGGTGCAGTGGCTCACGCCTGTAATCCTAGCACTCTGGGAGACCAAGGCCTGTGGATCGCTCCAGCCTGAGCAGGAGTGAGACCCCGTCTCTACTAAAAGAAAAAAAATAGAAAGAAATTAATTGGCCAACTAATAATATATAGAAAAAATTAGCCAGGCATGGTGGCATGTGCCTGTAGTCCCAGTTACTTGGGAGGCTGAGGCAAGAAGGATTGCTTGAGCCCAGAAGTTTGAGGTTGCTGTGAGCTAGGCTGATATCATGGCACTCTGGCTCGGGCAACAGAGTGAGACTCTGTCTCAAAAAAAAAAAAAGCACCAGGCCGGGCGCGGTGGCTCACGCCTGTAATCCTAGCACTCTGGGAGGCCGAGGCGGGTGGATTGCTTGAGGTCGGGAGTTCGAAACCAGCCTGAACGAGACCCCCGTCTCTACTAAAAATAGAAAGAAATTAATTGACCAACTAAAAGTATATATACAAAAAATTAGCCGGGCATGGTGGTGCATGCCTGTAGTCCCAGCTACTCGGGAGGCTGAGACAGGAGGATCACTTGAGCCCAGGAGTTTGAGGTTGCTGTGAGCTAGGCTGACGCCACGGCACTCACTCTAGCCTGGGCAACAAAAGTGAGACTCTGTCTCAAAAAAAAAAAAAAGCACCAAATTTCTTTTGCTGTGATTACCAGAGGTATAGTTGAAAAATAAAATAAGCCTATGTTGAAACCTTTAGTAAAATAAATGTTTACCCTCTCAGTTTAACTGAAAAGGTTTGCAGCGCACTGAAAAAGCCCAGAAACAGAAAGATAAGTGTTAAAGGATGTTAAACAAAAATTATAGAAGGCTATCATCTTGGACTAAACTCTTGCACTAGGCCCCAACAGACCAGATTAAAAATCAAAAGAGAGTCACCCATGCTGATCAGATTGAAACTGAGTTGCTATCTGGTCTTCCAAGAAATCAGGAGAAAAAGACAACAGCCTAACTTCCCAAACAGGCCAGTTTAGGTCTTCAATAGTCATGGTAATGAAGTTCCCTATCTTTTATTTTATTTTATTTATTTTTTTGAGACACAGTCTTGCTGTGTTGTCTGGGCTATAGTGCCATGGTGTCAGCCTAGCTCACAGCAACCTCAGACTCCTGGGCTCAAGTGATCCTGCCTCAGCCTCCTGAGTAGCTAGGTTCAAGCCAGTGTGCTCAGTGGAATTGCCATTTTTTTGTTTTTATAGCTATTGAAAACAGAGAGAAAATTCAACATAGCAAAATTCCAAATGAAC